GTAAAGACCAACCTGAAGAGGCCTATTAAGCGAGATCAAGTAAAAAGTAGGTTGGACTTTGATGCCTCCGATAACATCCCATGTAATTCAGAAATGGCATCTGGCTCTGACATGATTTCTACATCTGATTCTGAGAAAGAAGGAGATATTTTTGACTTAGATTTGCCTAATTTAGATGCTTTAGGGATGGATTTTAATCTGTCTGAACTACTAGTTGATTTTGACCTTGATGGAGAGGGGATTGATTATTCTTGCCAGCAAACATTAGATTCTTCCCCAGATACTTTTTCAGGGTAAAGTTACCAGCCTTGCCCATATATTCTCATAGTTTCCTTTATCTAATGCAAGTTTAGGAATGGTTCCTAAGTCTCCATTTGATGTTTAATGAACAGGTCACCTCATGAGTCAGGAAATGTCAATGCTGATACAAACCAGATGACCTCTCAGATTTCATCTACAGTTACTGAAGTCTTTTCAGAGCAAGACATGAATTTACTAGGTAAAAGAAAATCCTTGTCAATAAAATTGACTGGACTGTTTTCATTGAAATGTAGGAAAGGGTCTTAATTTTTTCACATTGATCATTCAGGTTCAGATTCCATGACCACTATGAAATCAGTTACCAAATGCATCAAAATTTTAAGTCCTGGTAATTGCTTGACTTTCTACTTTCTCCTTTTCATTTTGCAAAAAGTAATGAAGATATGATTCCATGACTGTCTCTTTTGCAGTTAAAAATATCGGAAGCTTGAGGGATTAGGAGAGCTTTGTGCAAGAGATTGACTGAACTCTTACGCAGATGATTACTGAGGCTGAAATGCCATAATTGATCACAGTTGAGTTGACTGGATTTATGCAACCCCAACAAATTTACCTAACTAGTTTCACATACTAACTGTCCATTCATTAGCAAAAGGGTGTATGGTGTTGGATTATGATTTATTTTCCATAGAATTAACAGCTCCAGTCCTAGTTAGAATATTGATTATATATAGCTTATGGCTAAGCATATTAGGAATTTGTATAAATTTATTTGACATGAACAAGCTTATAGCAAATTTGATTATGAGAAACATCTGATTATCTGGAGAAAGAAATTTGGCATTTTGATATCTTGATGTACAAAACAAAGTCTCTGGATGTTGGATCATGTAAATGCATTCACTCCTTTTCTTACAGAGAGTGAAGATCACTGAACTTGAATAAAGATTGTCCTGCTACTATATTGTTCCCTGGCAGGCACTTGCTCACTAAGCACTTCTCTTTGGCTTGGTTAAGCTAAAAATCGTTAATCTAAACAACTATGCCTTCCCAAATTTTGTGGTTGGTTTTGATTTCCACGTCTAAATTTATGTGAGAATTCTGTGAAATTATCAATGATGTTTTAAAGGCAGTGCTCATTTGGTCCATATATACTGAAAATGGAACCGGTTGTTCAGGGCTTATGGTAATATTGATGTAGCAGATCTATCAATGGGGTGTAGCAAGACAATGTGTTGAGAGAATCAAAAGGGATGAGGCAGTAACTGCAAGGGAAGTTGACAAATTAATCATGATGGAGAATAGAGGGATGAATCCTTTCTGACTCGAGGGCAACTTAGGAAGATCAAAAGCCCCAAAAGAAAGTGGGTAACTGTCAGAACTCAGAAGATGGACTTTGTCATGGTTTTAGTTGTTAAAATGGCTGCTTCAATATGCCATGCTTGCAAAAGCAAAGCTCAGCATACTTAGTGTTGTGATTCTCGGATCAATATGAAGATTATTTGGGAGGAAAAACAACTCTATTTCACAAGAATAGAATTATAGAGAATTTACACCAAGAATTTTTCTCTACAAAAAACCTCACCAAACTCTCTTTTTGTTCTCATAATCTCTTCCTGGATTGTATTTCAATCTCTCTGGATTGATGTTTCTGTGTAAAACATAAGGCTCTATTTATAGCCTTAAAGAAGGTGGTTGGTGGTTGAATTCTTCATTCAACAACGGAGGCTTCAATAATGGTGGCTTCTAGAATGAGTTGGTGACTTCAACAATGGTGGGCTTCTAGAATTGGTAGTTGGCAGCA